AGAGAGTGGAGGGGAAGGGTGGTGCTGCTGGCCCTCGTCGCCGTTCCACGCTGGCGTCGGCGGTGGTGGGCGTTCGTCGTTTTTCGTGGGCATGTCATTTTTCAGGTGTGGTGGGGGTGGGGTTTTCGTGGGCGCTCGTTTGTTGTTGTCGTTGTTGTCGCGTGTTGTCGTTGTTGTCGCGTGTCGTCGTGTCGTGTGTCGTCGACCCCACGTGTAGTCGTCGTCGGGTGTTGTTGTTGTTGTTGTTGTCGTGTGTCGTCGTCCCCGCGTGTAGTCGTCAACGTGTGTCGTTGTCCTCGCGTGTCGTCGTTGTCCTCGTGTGTCGTCATCGTTGTCGCGTGCCGCTGGTGCCTGTCGTGGTGAGAACGGGGCATTGGGGTGGTGGGGCATACATACCGTTGGCCCATGACGTGGCAACGTCATGGGCGCCGTCCCTCGTTCTTGGCCTGTCCTTCCACGTTGGCGTGGGCGTCGTTGGCGTGGGCATGAGCGTCGTTGGCGTGGGTGCGGGCGTCATTGGCGTGGGCGGCGTTGGCGTTGGCGTGGGCAGCGTTGGCATTGGCGGCATTGGCGTTGGCGTTGGCGGCGTTGGCGTTGGCGGCATTGGAGGGGAGTGGTGAAGGGTGGTGGTGGTGGTGGTGGAAGGGAATGGGATGGTCACGGAAGTGTGACCATGCTGCAAATAGAAGATGTGACGATATGGCACGCCCTCAAGTAAGTCACGTGACCTCACCCCGCAGACTGAACAAAATCATGAATCCTTATTGCAGCTATCACTGACCCACACTATATGTAAATTATAACCCTTCCATTCATTGATCAATAAAATTGTAAGTATGGCTTGTATATTGTATAGTCTATTTTCGCTTTTTTAGTTATATTCATATATAATAGTAATAATATACTGGAATGACTGGAATCCACTGGAATCCACTGGACTCCACTGGACTCTGACTGGACTCATAGTCCACTGGACTGGGACTGGACTCAGGAAAGTGGCTGGCAGTCCAGTGGGAGTCCACTGGACTGGACTGGACTGGACTGGACTGGACTGGGCATTCTGCCAGCCAATCTGGCCTGGTAAGAGGGCCACTGGAATCCACTGGAGTCCACTGGAGTCCACTGGAGTCCATATGGATTACGTGGGGGAGGGTAAAGACCTCACTACCACCACCTCCTGCTCCTGCCCCTCATCCTCCCCCTCCTCCAAACCCAGCAACACCAGCACCAAACAACACTCTTGACTGTAGCATAAGCTTCCAGGCTGAATGGGGATGAGTTGTAAGACCTACCGTAGCTGCTTTGTCAAACTCCCTTCATGCAAGGGTGTACACTTGTAATGATTGAGATTCATCTGCAGCATATCGTTTTTGGTTGTTGTTCATTTGCAGACTTGTACCATTCTGTGTTCCATCTGTACACAAATGTTAGTCTGTTGAGGAAGAATAACTGAGGAAATGACTTGCCTCACGACAGAGCTGGGGTTTTCTAAAGCTCTTGTCATAGCCATCTATGAGACCAATGCCTAGTAAGGTGGAAAGGACCAGGTGCTTGATGGTGCCTTCCGTTTGCTCAATGACGTAATCCCTGCTGACTATTGTCTGGGTATATTGAGCATGGCCGCATATGTCCCTAGGTAGAAAGATGTCAGCACTTGAGGGAGGGAAAGAGAAGGGATGGAGAGGACTTCAAAGGATGGAGGGGGAAGCAAGAGGTGTCAGATCTGTTGATCATGGCCCTCAGATCCATTAATGACGAAGCATGTCCGGTAGTTTCCGTGAGATGGCATGTTGTCAGCTTAAACCTTTGACATCAAATTTGAACTAACTCCACTGCAATCGTCACAAGATGTACTCTAAGCTTGGCTGTTCAAATTGAATTAAAGAAAGACATCTTGAGCTTGAGCAGAATCATATGGAATGAATAAAGGTTTGAAAGTGTTGGTAGTTGCATATTCAAGAGGTACCAGGTGAGACAACCTGAAGGCTGGGATTGCTAGTGTTTTAAAGTCCAGTCTAGTTTGGTTTTTTTTACCTCAAAATGAGGCAACTGGCAACCGCAACTGGTCCAGACCAATCCAGATATTAAGGGACCACAACTGGACCCTTTTAGACCAGTCCTAATCAGTCCACAACACAGAAAAAACTGGTCCAGACTGGTTGCAGTCAAATGAAAGGCCTTTCATAATTATGCTTGAGATATAGATACTTAGCTCTAGGCATATGCCTTAGTATTATGATAAAGGTGGTAGCCACCAGTCTGAGCCTTATGGGCATCTTCATTCTATTGGATTTGCTCTTCGTCACCCAGT